ATACACACACACACACACACACACACACACACACACACCACATATATATATATATATATATATATTATATATAATAATATAATATATAATATATATATAGAATCTGTGTGAGTTTATTTATGTCTGTGTCTTTGTATGTACGTATAAATACGATTTAAAGATCTTGGAGAGTAACACTGTTGTAGAATATAATCAAGCTTTGCATATGTGTTTCGAGTATGATATGAATCGGGCTGCATGATGTAATGCATTGCAATTTTATTTCCTTTATCTAAATTGCCTGCACACCGCGGTAATTTCCCACCTGCTGTCAGTTAACTAGGGAAATTCACGTACTAGTCTCTGTTCGTAACAATGATAAATCAAAGCTGTATTAACATGATAGAATTAGGATAAGCAATATATATAATATATATATATATATATAATATAGATATAATATAGTATATATATATACATGTATGTTGTGTGTGTGTGTGTGTGTGTGTGGTGTGTGTGTGTGGTGTGTGTGTGTTGTGTGTGTGTTTGTGTGGTGTATACACACACAATCACATATATCACGTGCACACACACACACACACCACACACACACACACACACACCACACACACACACACACAACACACACACACACACACACACACATATATATATATAATATACACACTGTCCTATGGAACTTTCCCTTTAGTCTTAACGCCTTTTTTTCCGGTGACAAGAAACTGTATAACTACACTAGACAGTGTCGTTTTTTTTCCTTTGCGACACTTCTCCGGGCCGATCGCGACAGCAACGCTGCCGATGCTTCTACGCTGTTGCCATAGGTGCGGCTCCTCCCCCATTCCTAGGAATTGTACTCTGATTTTGTTTTGGAATTGTATCAATGAACAAATCATTGTTTTACTGATATAACATTAGGAAATAACAATACATACAAGTTGTTAGTTCTCAACATCTTAAAACTACAAATCAAACGACGGAACACTATCGAAATCAGTTGAAAATGCGCGGGCCCTAAGCGGCTCCCATCACCATCATATATAATATTATTATTATATATCATCAGATATATCTGGGGGAGGAGGACTGGGCAAGGCCCACCTCCCTCGAGCCTCCCATTAACCCCAGGGGGCTAGGGGGCAGGAGTTGGTACAGGGCCAGGGTGTGCTCCGAGATCCCCCTAAGTTTAGCCTGGAAAAGAAAAGAAAAGAAAAAGAAAAGAAAAAAAATATATACATATATATATATATGTATATATATATATATGTATATACGTATGTATTTATATACATGTATGTACATATATAGATACGCCTGTATACATATATAAGCATATATATATATATATATATATATATATATATATATAATATTATATATATATATAATATATATAATATATATATATATATATGTATATATACATATACATATACATACATACATACATATATAATATATATATATATATAATATATATATTATATATAATATTATATATATATATATATATTGCCTCTTGTGACCAGAAAGACCAGTTTTCATTTTATATATGTAAGAACTGTATAGAATTTTGTGTTGTGGTAGCCCATTTACTTATATCTGAGGGACTACCATAGCTTCATTCAAGCAACTCTATTGTAGGAGAAGCACTCCTGTTGTGAGGAATGGGTTGAATATAACAGTAATCCCTTGAAGTTGATAATACCACATTTTCTGCGTCTAACCTCAGTTAAAATGTAATAAGTTTTTTGTTTTTGTTTTTGTTTTTTAGATTAATGTTTTTTCTCGTTATTTTGATAACAAATATTACTAAAAGTATAAGCTGAATTCTGTATATACAATTCATTTGATTTTATACCATTTACGAAGTACTGGTTTGCCTACTTGTGTTTTTGGTGTGAAATTTGATCATAATTTGCTCTGCTTTAACCCATTTTCCTACTTCAAATAAGTTACTGAAAAGTTTTGGTCTTACAGAGCCTGCTTATCATAATGCCTTCCCAATATCATATTTAGCAGTGCGAGGCGTCAGTGTGATAACCTAGCCCATTTCAGACTGAAAATTACTCGGGTTCTTTGTATGTTCATTGGGTCTGGGACAGGTGCTATTAGTCTATGCTGATGCCAGAATTAAGGCTGGATAATCAATCAATAAATTATGTAATAACATGATTTTTGTCATTTAATTTTGATTGAATTTTAGGATAATTTAATTCTATATAAATGAAACAAAAACTTTTATTATCAATCAATAAAAACGATCATATGAATCAGCGTGCCAATAAAACATATTTTTACAACACAACATTACAGCCAAACTGCAGTAAACTTTCATAAGTTTTGAAAAGATAACTTACAACTAAATACTCAATACAATAAAAATACGAAAATTATAAATATGACTTGAGGATCAAAATGTACTAATCGGTTACCCAGATATAAGATTGACATATGTATCATTTGTAGTGGCTAAATCATATTTCTATGAGAAAAAAAAACTTTGTGAATGAATGACTTACTTGTCAAGAAAATTGGGAAAGGTTCGTTACCATTGCATAATCAAATAAATAGAAAATAAAATCAATATCCTCAGTGAGTAAATTGATTATAGATCCAAATATATTACTTCCTTAAAAAGCTAACCTAAGTATCCTTCGAACATTATGGGATCATTTTGGGATTCAAAGGATAGGGACTATCCTTTGAATCCCAAAATGATGGTACACTTATTTATTTCATAGCGGGCTTACCAGGATGCGGCCACCAAATGAACACTGGTACAGCTATCTGAATCCTATTCACTCTTTTCTAAGCATCCTTTTATGAAAGGAGCCTTTTCCGGTCACCTCTGTAATGGGTATTGAGGAATTATTTCTGTGGTTGAAAAGGTACCCACGGCAGAGATTTTCCGGGCCACAGTGATTTCTAAACACTCTATATATTACCTTTTTCTTTTTCTACCTTCTTCCTTTGTTTATAGATTTTTTCAAGAGGGACACATTGTTGTTTATGGTATGAGCCATTATATTCGATTGCGATGACGCCGTCGCAATTTTTTCTTTCCTTCCGGTAGTCTGTTGACCCTGTTTTTAGCATGGCATCCGCTTCAGATTTTCTTTCTTGTTACCGGTCATGATAAAATTTTCACCGTGATAGTGTTGTTATTTATTTATTTTCATTTGTTTAAGGTGGTCTAAGAGAAAATAGCATTTAGTAGAGATAATATGGCAGGGTTGCTAAGTTTGGTACTAATGTGCCAGATTTAGTACTTTTGGGTGAGCCAAGTACAATGGGTATGGCTTTCAGAAAAAGTCAGATTTCTGGTACTAGTCTATACATTACTACTCCACACTTTATAAGGAGAAATGGAAATGAAACGGAAACATCGCAACAGACCCGAATATAGTGTAAGATACACATGTGATATGAAAAAACGATTACCACGTATCATTTTTCCATATCACATATGTGTATCTCACACTACACGTAAATAATATGGAATAAGGAAGCCTTTGTCACGTCCCAGTCAGTCTGTTTCACGTATTCCGATAAGTAAAATAACAAGAAACTTAAACTCGATTCTTTTTTTAGTGTGGATAGAATGGACAAAAAACAACCATCGACATCATTACCTACGACATCTTATCGGGAAGAAGGGAAAGCGCAATTCTAAACATATCAAGTAAATAATCTTAAATTCGTGAGTTTCAGTATGATTTGTCGTGATCTGGTATTTTTCAGTAAGTATCTTGAATTGGTACCCTTAGTAGAACTAGAATAGCAACCTTGTAATATGAGCGAATGGAGAGCAAAAATACATTTCAAGTCTCATTTATTTAGTAGATGATAATAGTACTGAAAAGAAGCTTAATGACAACAATAATAAAATGACTGGATGCAAAGATTATCCAGCCATTAATATCACTGCAATAAAGAGGCAAAACGCAAAGCAACAGGGTATATGCAGAAGGTCTCCGCATCCAACCCAAGGATGAACTCGGAAAGCATCCTCTTAGAAGTAAATTTCACGGAGGAGTGTCGAGTGGATGTAAGGAACTTGTTTGTTTTTGTGATATGGGTTTTGAGAATCAATTTCGCTCTCGTAGAGGACTGCTACTTCCCTGGTGACTTTGAGAAGAATGGAAGACAGTCGTGGAGATGTACTGGCACAGTTCTTGAGGTTCTCGGCCAAGAAGTGGATGAAGACACTTCCTTGGATCCCTTTACGTTCACTCGTGAAGGCCGGAAAGCCTGTAGTAAAAGCGAAAGAGGTTTAGATATAAAGGGACAGAAAGGAAGCAAAAATGGAGGAGGAAGAGAGAGAGAGGAGAGAGATACTTTAAAGAAAAGGACGCATACAATACACAAACATACATATAAAAACCAAGTCTATCAAAATAAAAGAACAAGGAATTGTAGTAGCTCCAACCCAGTGGTTCTTAACCTAAGGAGCGCGTCCGTAATTTCCCAGGGGGGCGCGACCCTTTGGGAAAAGCAGGAATTTCTCTAATCATATTTGCTATTCTTGTTTAGTTAAATGATGAAAAGTTTAATAATAAAGTGACATTTATGCTCATTGAAGAACTAAGAACATATATCTAAAAGTATCTAACCAGTTTTTCCATACTTTACCAAGTGGTTATCAAATATTACATCTTGATATAAATATTCCACCAAAAATACAGATAAGATGCTTAAGAAAACACTGGATCACAGAAAAAATAGTTAAGGTATGTGCATTTATCACAGGGAGCCACATTTTCCTTTGTATACATTATGCGAGCCAAATAAGGAGTCGACGGTACGAAACGGTCATATGTTTGACGCAAAAATGCAAGAGGCTATTTCATAAAAAACAAACAAACAAACAAACAAACACACACACAGTTATAAAAGATATAGAAGAGTGTAGGGAATAATCTTAAAATATGAAGGATTGCTTTAATCATTCATGTAAAACGGCCAACTGTGACACAAAAGCAAATGTGCCGCGGACC